TTATTTAAGAGTGACTCGTTTTTCTGAGATACTTTTGCAGTCATTTCTGTCCTTCATATTCTACTTTTTGGTATCTGTTTCTAGAATGCCATCCTTTTCGTTCAATTTCCTGATAATTTCCTCTTTCGGTAGTTAAATTCCTTCTGGAGTTTTGTTTTGTTCTTTTTTTGCCCTTTGTACATTAACAATATTACACATTTTCCAATACGAAATCCCATTCCTACATCTTGGTTGATGATTGTCCAGTTCCTTTTTATTCCTGGCATTTTTTAGGTTACTAATGTACATGAGGGGAAGTTTTGGTACAAACTTTCTTTCATTATTGTCTTTCTGATGCATCCTGTCCTCTTGATGCTTAATCCACTTTCCATTTTCCATTGCCTTCGTTATAAAACTCATTATTTCTCTTGAAATGTTTAGCATCTTCAGGCATTATTTACTTTTGGGATCAAATACAGTCAGCCATCTTTTAGGATTTTTGATCGACCTATTGCAGATACTTCCTCCGTCGTGTTTCTTTTAAGCAATCTTCATACGTTTGCATCTTTTTCTCAGTGCTGATATCAAGTGATAGCAAGTCTCCTTAAATCTTCAGCGTCCTTCTCACTATCTCCGCAGACTTCATCTTCAACCTTCTAATCTTCATTATTATTATAATTTTTATTTTATTTTCATTGGTTTCTGGTGTATACTCATTTCTTTCCTGGTCCCGACCAGAGACCTAAGGTCAGAAAGGACATCATGACATTTTCCACTGAGCAGTTTTGAAAAAAAATCGCCCATATTTTACATGGATAAATCCCTTCCTAGGGTGTCGGCTGTACTTGTGAGTACAATTTTTTGTATTTCTTTAAGACATGGGCTACTAGTTATCCCTTCAATGAGTTTATTGGAATCTTTTCCAATCAGTCCGAGAGGTCCAACTACAACTGGAATTGTTAATGCTCTCATGAGCATTAAGGAGGAACATTTTTTTCTTTGCGGTCTCTAATCACGATGTCTGGGCGATTAGTTGTTCTTTCTGTGTGTATTGTAAAGTCCCATAAAATTTTTACAGGTCCTATCTCCCTAACCGGATCTGGATGGTGTTCATACCAGTTTCTTGCAGTTTCTTTTCTGTAGAAGTTGCAGATTTTCCAATGCAGATATTGGCCCACTCTGTTGTACCGTGGTTTATATTCAATGTGTGCCAATACTGTTCAACCCGATACAAGATGGCCAGTTGCTTCTGGATATTGATCAGAGAATCTGCATTTAGGGTTAACACAATTTTTCAGTGTGTTTGCTTGTTAATTTCTAGTTAGCATGCAATGGTACTGTGCAGCAAGAATAAAATATTCGGTTTCAGCTTTAAACCCTGCACTACGTAAGCCACTGAGCGGTACAGGGTTTATCTACATCAGCTTGTTTGGGACGGGCAGAGAATTGATCTTTAACCGGTTTATCCTGCTATCATTTCTGTATCTGGTCGGTTGCATTTGCCTTTGCTTTCTTTTTTAAGCATTTTGTAGCTTTGGTTGGTGCGTCGTGCTTAAGTTGTTTTTCTTCACCCATTTAAAACTCGATTTTGAAATTGTTGGCTTCTTTTATTATTGAATAAAGTTGCTTAGTACTTTTATATTCTTTGACACATAATCATCCAGTCTTCTGTAGTTTCCAGGTATCTTTGAAGGTCAATTTTTGTAGTTTTGTAAGACAGTTCTAGTTGAACTAATCCTCTGCCTCCTTCGTATCTGGGTACATACAGACGATCAACATCAATTTTGGGATGATGAATGCAGTGGCAGGTAAGTAGCTTTCTTGTTTTAGTGTCCATTTGGTTAACGCCAACTAAGGTTCAGTTAAAGATGTTGAAACTGTATTGCACCACAAGGACAGCCAAGGTATTTATGGCTGATATTTTGTTTTTCGAATTCAGCTCGGTATTTAGTGCCAAACGTACATGCCTGTATTATTTTTTTTTTATTGCCTTCTCCTTCATTTAGGTATGCTATATTCCATCTCCTTTGCTAATTCTTAGGTACTTATAGGCTTCATCTTATTCCAGTTCCCTAATCTTTGTGACAAAATCTTGTGTTTCTGTAATTTTTCCTTTCTTGAAAGTTACTTTTGCACATTTATCTAATCGGAAATCAACACATATGTTGCCACTGAAACATTTTACAGCATTGAGGTGACCCTTTAACTCATTGTCGTCTTTGAAAAAGGGTTCGTGATCATCCATGTAAAGTAGGTGATTGAATATTTTCTTGTTTAGTTTGTAACCATAGCTATTGTTGTTTAATTCATGTGTAAGGAGGATTAAGGGCAGACAAAACAGAAGAGATGACAGGGAGTCTTCTTGAAAGATTCCTCGTCGGATATTCAGGCGGTTGGAGATGGCAATGCCTCTGGTGTGATTTAGGTATAATATAGTCTTCCCATGCTGTGTTTAAGGAAATTTACTATCACTGAGGAGACTTTTTAGATTTCCAAAGTCTTAACGGTCCAAAAGTGTGGCAAACTATCAAAGGTTTTACGGTAATCTATCCATGCTGCACTAAGATTTTTACATCGTCACCTGCAATTTTCCTGGTTCATCTTTTTTATCAGTAGTTACAACCATATGAACTTTACCTGCATCCCTTCTATACCAGTGGAATAATGTTGTTTGCTTCGAAAAAAGTGTAAGTACAGTTCGTCAGACATGATCAATTTATACGTGTTGGACAGACATGTTATTGGCCTATAATTTATACGTGGTGATTATTGGCTTATAATTTTTCGGGTCATCTATCTCAATTATTATTATTATTATTCCTTCATTGATTGTTTACATCATTAATAACGAGTGAATTGTCCGGGGTATCTAATGACACTACGTCTCTTCAATACTCCGGTAGTAATCTTCTTCTTTTTCACTGTCTCTTCAGTTATCATGGTCCTCCACATCTTCCTGTCCTTGTAGCTCATAATAAATTTTGACTTTTTGTTATCTCTCCCAAACCCTGTTCTACCATCCATGTTATACGCTGTTTTCCTTTGTCTCTCTTTCCTCAATCTCTTCTGTGAGTATCAGGTTTTCCAAGCCCCCTTTCCCCATTACGTGAAATTACCTGCCTCTTGTTGATGTTAAGTAAAAATTTCCTTTTGAATTCCATTATCTCTAAAATTTTCACATATTCGGTCCATGGTATCCTCAACATCTTTCTGTAGAACCACATTTCTATTGCTTCAAGTCTCTTCTTCATCTCGTCTTGAGCATTCACTGTTATATAGGAGGAGAGATATCTCGTAACCATTCAGTATTCTTTTCTTTTTTTCTAACGAAGTTTTTCTCTCTCTTAATACTCTGCTTAGCATTTAGAAAGCATCTTTGGTCACCCCAATGCGTCTTCGGGTCTCAGTATTGCCACTTTTTGTCCTCGGTTAGAACACTTCTCATCCTTTTGGGGCCCATCCTTTTCCTAACTACCATGCATTCTGTCTTCTTGTAGTTTATATTCAGTCCTTTCTTCTCGCTTTCCTTTCTTACCTTCTGTAGGAGGTTTTGTAGTTTCATTTGCGTGTCAACTATCAACAGTGTGTTATCTGCATATCTTATGTTGCTAAGATTGCGGCCGCCAACAACAAATCCCGGTAGGACATCTAATTCTCTCAGAATTGCCTCGCTGTATCGGTTGAACAAGTCTGGTGAGAAGACACATCCTTATCTTACACCCTATTCTGTTTTTGTTTTGTTTTCTGTGCAGGTGGGTTGCTGCCAGTATAGGTTCTGGATTATTCTAATATCCTTCCCAAATATGTCAAGGGTACTGAACAACTCTAATAGATTTTTATCGAACACCTTTGCGTAATCTATAAAGCAAAAATACACTTTCTTCTGCATTTGTATTCTTCTTTCTTACATTCTGATCATAAATATCACATTCCTTGTTCCGGGGTCTTTAACGAATCCGCACTATTCTTGTCCTATCTATGATCTGATTCTGCTTCGCTCTCGATTCATCAAAATGAGTTTTGTTATATGGCTCATTAAGCTGATTGTCCGATAGATTTCATGTTCGTTTGCGCCTGGTTTCTTAGGCAGTCCTATGAAAATAGATTTGATTAGGTCTTCCACCACTATAGATTTTATTTATTATTTCTGTGATTTTGTTTATGCTGAAATCATCTAAGGCCGCCAGCATTTATATTACAATTCCGTCTGGCCCCGTCACGTTGTTTCTGTTCAATTTGGTCAGTGCGGCTTCCACTTCGGTTTTTAATATTTTCGGGTTTTTAATGCATCTTGTTGATGAGAATGTCTTAGATTTTTTAATAATGGTGTCGACCGAATGGTCCCAACTTTTGATCTATTATTATCATTATTAGTAGTAGTAGTATTTGATATTCTCACCCACTATTAGATGTTTCAGCCGAGTGATATTTATCATATCTCAACTTCTACCCACACCTTAAAGACACAACACTTTCCTCAGCACATGAGTTCTTGTTGTTTTTGTTATTATAATTATTATTATTATTCAAATCATATATATATATATATATATATATATATATATATAATTTTATTTTCTTGCTCTGCTTCTCATGTGTTCATACTATTTTTCGCTGTTATAATTCTCTTAATATTATTATTATTATTATTATTTGAGAGATCTTCTTCAGCTCGGTAGGATGATGATCGTCATATATCAGTCCGTACCCACAGCTTAAAAGCACAATACTTTCCTCAGCATATAATCTATTATTATTATTGTTGTTGTTTTTGTTGTTGTTTTTGTTACTATTATTATTATCATTATTATTATACAAAATACACGATAAATGATAACACTAATAAAATAATAAGTAAAATAATGATGCTGAGGAAAATGAATAATAACTTGATAAAAATGATATGAGCAATGCATTATTGGGAATAATTTCAGTTCTATTTTTTTTTTGTGTGTCGATTTTCGGCAACATGATCACACGCACGTCAAAAGGTTGACTATCATTCTTTCACCGATTCCTTGATGATTAAATTATCCTCTCCTTCCATTTCCATTTATCTCTCTTTTGCTGTTTCTCAATTTCTTTTGTACATTATTCTTACTCTTTCTTTACACTTTCACTTTCATCAATCCTTACTCGCTTCTTTTGATTACCATTTTCTCTATATCCATCTCTTTATTGCTCTCCCAGGCTTCTTTCTTTACCGTTTTTGCACCCCTCTCTCTCTCTCTCTCTCACACACACACACACACACACACAGACTTACATCTTTAGCCTCTCTCTTTCATCTTTTTCCTATACAGACTGCGTTTTTGTTTATCTAACCCAGCCTTTGCGCCCTAATTTGTAGATTGATTTCTCTTTGTATATCATTTCCGCAACTTTATCCTCTCTCTCTCTCTCTCTCTCTCTCTCTCTCTCTCTCTCTCAATAGAGAGAGAGAGAGGATAAAGTTGCGGAAATTGATATACAAAGAGAAATCAATCTATAAATCTCTCGATCTATCTCTGTCGCCACACGTACACACACACATACAAACACACACACACAAACACACACACACAAACACACACATATGCGTGTGCGAGCTCACGCGTGAATAGAGAGTGGGAGAGAGAATGAGAAAGGGAAAGAGGCTGAGGGTTTCGTAACCGGATTTCTCTACACAGTTCCATCAACCTCTTATCTTTTCCTTTCATCTCTCACTCTGTTTCTGTCTCTGTCTCTCTATCTATCTATCTATATCTCGCACCACTTTATTTCTTATTTGTAGTCCCAATTTTTCTTTCTCACCACCTCGGTCTAACAAAACAAAAAGTGCCATTATCAAAGTGTCAAGGGAATACATTTAACTGGCAAAATGCATTATTCATGTGAAGGCATTCAGTGGACAGGTAGTCAATATAAGAGGCCTCCTCTCTGATCCCACGCCGACGTGATGGTCAGTTGAGACAAATCAGCCATTTATTCCACCGCCATTTTCATCTGGACCAATCACTGGTCATATTTTGTGATCTCATCTCAGTCTCTTAAATCGACAATTTTATTTAATTAACATATTTTTTACTCTTTCTTTTTGTGAAATTGCCTTTCTCTCTCTCTCTCTCTCTCTCTCTCTCTCTCTCTCGTTCTCTTTCTCACTCATAAACACGCGCATGCGTCCACATATACACTTTCTCGCCTACTCTTCGATTTTTTCGTGAGTTTTTTTTGCATTTTTATGTATTTATAATTTATTTCTCTTTCTCTATCTACTGCTCTCTCTTCCTCTTTCTCTCTCTCTCTCTCTCTCTCTCTCTCTCTCTTAGATTTTTATATTTTCTTCAATTTTTAGTTTAACTTTTTCCTTGATCTCTAATTCTTGTGCTTTCTTTGCTTCCCTATATTTATCTTTCTCTTTCCCTCTTTCACCCCACCCCTCTCTCTCATATTCTCTTCAATTTCCCATTATTTCCGTTATACATTATCTCTCTTTTTCTCTTTTTTAATCCCCTTTAATATCTTTCAATTCCTTCTTCTTTCTATTTTCTCACCTATTATTTTATCTTTTTCTTTCTTTTAACGATCATGTCTTTCTTCCAGTTTGCCGTTTTTCAATTATCACCAATTATTTCTTTTCTTCCTTATTTTGAATTGTTCATTTAATGTCTTTTTTTATCGTTTCACTCTGTCACTCTCCTCTAAACCCTAACCCCTCTCTCCCTCATTTTCAGTGTTTTCTTCTTTTACTCAATAATTTCTATTTATCTTTCTCTCCGCCTTCTCCTCCCTCTCAATTCTATTTTTCTTTCTCCTTTTCTTCTTTCTTTTATCATTTATCCGTTTATCTATCACCGTTTCTCCCTCTCCTTCTCTATATTTATTTTCTTTCTTTTTCTTTACTATCTATCCCTCCTCTTTAACCCCTTCATCCTCTCTATTTCTTTTCTTCCTCCTTTTCCTTTTCATTTTTAACATTTCATCTCTTTATCTTTCATCTTTCTTTCCAACCAATCATTTTCTTTCTTTCACATTCTCTCTCTATTTACTTATGACTTGAAATTTCCTGTATTATCGCATCGGATCTCGATCCATTCTTTAATGAAATTATTTTTGTTCTATCTTTCAAAGTTGTTCTCCGGGGTTCATATACATGTAAATGAACCATTAATAGACTTCAATTTTTTCTATTCATTGGTCAAACCTTCGCACAAGCAGAAAAATACAAGCAATGAAATTTAATATTTAAAATGGCTGCAAATTGATTTTATAGTTGTTTTTGGAAATTATAATTTTTCACATATGTTTTGTGTTTTTGTTATAGCCTCAGTGCTTCTCGATCACAATCGACATTGCATCATGTAAGTGGCGATGTATGACTTGAGACGAAAATTTGTTTAATGTTTCAGAACTGGTCCCAATAAATTTTAGCGTCATACTTCGATGAGTCACGACATGATATTTAACATGATAATGCCTCCCTCTTTCTTTCTCTCTCTTTCTCTCTCTTCTCTGTGTGTATGTATATATATATATATATATGTGTGTGTGTGTGTGTGTGTGTGTGTGTGTAAAAATTTCAGATAGAATATATCTGTAAAAAGACAATATGAATAAAGACAAAAAGGAAACTTTTCTTAGACAAAACGTTGAGGGGGGATTTTATTTTGTGATAGGTATTTATATACAAGGGCAAAAATGTTATTGATTTTTCAAACTTTTTAGGTATAGGAATACTCACAGCATGAAATTGCCTGGCTTTTTCGTTTCCCTGATGAATATTCATAAGCCTTCCTATAAAAAATTTTGAAAAGCCAATAACATTCTTGCTCTTGTATATAAATACTAGTGACAAAATAAAATTCTTACATTTGCCTTGATAAAGTCCTTCGGAGAAGAAACGCGTTGGCTAAGATAAGTTTTTCGTTTGTATTTATTCAGATAGATAGATAGATAGATAGATAGATATACATAATATCCAACGTCGATCGCCCGATTCGGAGTTTCATTCAGTTCTTGCAATCTTCAGGTGCAAATATAATCTGACCGTTATATAGTTCGCGTTCTTGTGGTGATGATTCGAAATTGTGTGTTCAAATTTATTTATTTAATTGTTGTTGCGTGAAATATTAGAATTAACTAATAATAATTTATATCATTCAAATTCTTAAGTTCATAAGGCGAAGCATTAAAAAATATTTTTTTTAAATAGTAAAATTTGATGTTGCATTCAAAAGTAAACAATATATGAAGGTGATGTTATATATACATACACATTATAAATTAATCGAGTACAGTAATTGGATTGTATGTGTGTATAGATATATAATAAATGTTAATAATTATAGGCTGTAAGAATATTAAGAGTTGTTGCATATTATATTAATATTCGTAAAATCTATTTTGCAATCCTTTTTAATCGGAATCAATGTATTTGAGCAGATGTTTGGATTTAGGGATACATGTAGATATCAATTCGGACCTCGTGTTTAGCAAGTTAGGGTTATTTAAAAGTTTTAATATAATAAGCTTCTCCAACAAACACAAGTTACATCTACCTCCCTTTCTGTTGTATAGCTTAACTTTTGCGATTATCTCCCAGCTAATGATTGGGTTCTTATGGTTGTTTTTTTTTTCGCTTGAAAGTGATGTGCAGTTTTTGTATTTGATATTGCTCAGTGTCATTTTGTGGTGGTAAAAACGCGATTTTCAGCTGTTCTCGATAGACCCAAAATAATATTTAACATCATCGTTGGAATTGATCCTAGCACTGTATATTATGCCTTCAATCATGTACTGTCCATTTAATGGACAGGTTACGTTTTTACGGGAGTTGCATTGACTTTTAGTAGGATTATTTTTAGTGTTTTGTTTGGGAGCATGCTTAATATATTATTGTTAGGTTGAGATATGTAATTATCTATGTTTTTCGTACAGCTATAACTGTCACCTTGATGTTATTTTTGTTGAAAATCTTATATGCTCGTAGCTCTGTTTCACAACATTGAGCACTGAGGAAGAAATATATTTACACCTATGTGCAAGTATGTGCATGTACGTAGAATTTTTTATCCTACCTATTCATATATATATATATATATATATATATATATATATATATATACTGTTACGGCCCTCTAGGTCACGTAGATTAAGTCTGGAAGATCCACTCTGACAGCTTCTTCCCCAGACCTGTTGCATTATGGGACGGACACCGATCACTACAAACTTTACATCTTCAAGTCGCAGTTGACTGAATGTATGGTTGATACATTTCATAAATATAAGATATTGGAACAATGAAAAAGCAAAGAGCCCAAGTAATGAAGTCCAAGGCTCCGATTTGGAACCTCCCGAACAGAAATGAAGAAAGGTTAGACACTGGGCCAGAGTTACCCCTTAACAAGTGACTGATAGGGGCATGAATTTCCCAAACACAAGAACAGTCAAGGGATGAAGAAAAGTTAGAGGTTGAGGCAAAGTTACCTCTTAAGAAGAGACTGAGAGGTGCAGGGATTTCTCAAATCCAAGAATGTTCAAGGGGTGAATAATGGTTAGAGTTTGGGCCTGAGTTACCTCTTAAGAAGAGACTGAGAGGGGCGGGAAACCCCGAATCTCAATAAGAAATGTGGCTGTGAACGAAGTGATGGATGTGTTCGGTGTCGGTGCGCAGCGAAGCCGGGCTTGTTCGAACAGTAGGTTTGGTTGAAAAGGATGGATGTTTGGAATGCACGTCACAAGGGGCGATGAATTTACTTGTTGATGCTGCCGGCTGGCCAGCGGTAGTATTAAGAAGATACGACCGCAGGGCGAAAGCGTTGCACACTTGTCTGAAGCAATCAGCCTGCTGAGCTGACTGAAAGAAGAAAAGGTTGAAGATGGGAAACTAAAGAGAAGGAGGTAGTGGCGAAAAATCGAATAGAGGCAGAGTATATAGCTTTGAATTCAGCTAGGCCAAAATTTTATGATACTAACATAAGAAGCAAGGAAATGTAGCGGTGATGTCTTGGGAACGTATACTTCGCTAAGTCTTATATATGTGACAGATAGTCCCAAGCTATGTATAAGTGAACTGTTAAAACTCAATAAAAAGGATCGATATGAATCGATTGAAGGGCAGGTTAAATGTTTTGGGAAGAAGAAGTATGGTTTGGACGGATAATAAGAGGATAGTGATAAATTGGTCAGCCGCGATAGGCACCAGATTATTAATTGATGCAATAGCAGCAGCGATATGGAAACTAAGAAATTGTAGAAGTAAATCGATTAATGATGTTTTGGCGAGCATGCAATGACCCGAGAAAAGTTTTTTCTGAACAGTGATCTTTACCCAAATATATCAATTATTGACAAGGAGCTATCCGAATTGAATTCATCAGAGGTAGAAATGGAGCCAGTACCTGTTGAAATGGAACCAATACCTGTTGAAGAAGAACCAAAATATTCCACCGCGCAGAGAAGAATGGTACCCAAGAAGAACAAACCATAAAAACAGACACACACATACACACACACAACAGAAACATGATAACTATGCATGAAAAATAAAAGGAAGAAGAAAGACTTTTATAGACTTTGCATGAAAAAAAAGAAGAAAAACTTTTATAAAGTAGAAATGTGGCATGATAAATAAGAAGCATTTCATGACATATAGAGAAACGTTGCATAAAAATTATTTTTTCTATTATTACTGCATGACTTAGTATGCATGACAAATAGTATACTAGCAGATTTGGGTTTGAGATGCCATTTACTATTAAATGACAGGAGAGGTATGGGAGGAATGTGATACTATTTGTCATTGTCACGGTAAAACGGAAGAAAGTTTTGTTAAAGTATAAGAAAGTGTTATGTGCTGAGAGACATTAAAAGGAGAAGGATTAATACCAAAATACCCGTGGGAAGAATTGAAGATTTAATTCACACATAAACGACTTGAATAGTATGTCGAGAATTTTGAACAATGGAAAAGTTACCCAGACTTAGGGGGAGATGTTGATTGACATACAGCTGAAAATACGGGATGGAAAGCGAAAAAGTAGATTTTGGTAAACAACTGAATTTGGTAATGGTCAAGGTAGCAGGCGCAGATTAGACATCAAGGAGGATGGAGGAACCACCCATGCTCACTGAAGTGGTCGATGAGAGAGGATAATAAAACAGAGGGTGGAGAGACGGAATTCCCCAAAGTTATGACGTAAGCCGGAGAGGATTCACCGAAATGCTCCTACCTTGCTATACCCCCATGCCAGTTTGGGCGAATGTCCATAAACACGAATGCGCGAAGCGAATTAAGTAGAAGAGAGAAGAGAGGTACAAGAGACAAAGACGAGACCAGAGACAGAAGAGAAGCCCACGTGATTATCTGCCGACGAAAGCCTTCGACTTCAGCCTTGTGCCGAACCTTACTAACAACAGCAAACCAGATTTTGCCAGGTCAACAATTACATCACTTCTTAAGACGCGGGCTGGGCTGATAATTAATTGCATGCGAACTCTGATATGGACC